GCGCCAGTGCAGCAAAACACAATTGACAGCACTCAAGCCTAAGAAGTAAAAAGAACAAAGACATCTTTTTGGTCACCTAAATTAGGTGACCTAATTATTAATAGAAACACTAATAATTATAATATTACGTAATATTGTAAATTTATAATATAATGTTTTATTATATAATTAATTATTTTTATTTAAAAATTTACTTATTGTATTATATATTTATATATTTGATGTCACAATATACTCATTTAATATCATATAAAATTATAAATTTACAATTTTTCATACCATTGCATTATAAAGTATAGCATTTGCGGTTGCTAATGTGTAAGATCTGATCTAATTTTCAACAGGATTAGGCCATTGTCAGGGCTGAAGCCTGAATGGACCCAATTTGGTGCTCTTTTTTTTTAGTTTCCATGAGGCCCAAATGCAATTGGGTTGAGTCTTAAAATGCAGCCCAGGAAAATTTGGATTAGAAGTTTGATTCAAAATAATAATTTCAAAACCACTTGTTATGGGTCTATTTGAGCCTCAAAAGAATTGAGAAGTTAACAATTGTTTTTTTTTTTGTTTTTTTTAATTAAATTTAAAAATGCAACAGGTTTAAACCATATCCTAATCAACAAAGACCCTTTGATTTGTTGGTGGAAATTTGAATTTCCAACAGCTTGCAACAGTTCAATTTGGTTCCCTTCCGAGCCTCTTATATCTAGAATGTGTTTTTTTTTTTTTATTATTAACCTCCAGTATCAAGTAATCATATTGAATTTTGATTAATTCAAAATTAAATCACATCAGATCCCATTAAAGGAGAAAATTCTTTCAACATCTATTTTTCCATTTACATGACTGAAACTCGATACTTTATATAAAAAAAACTGAATTACTTTCACTCGTACCAACAAATTATTAATTATATTTAGAATACATTGAATTGTCATTTGTCAAATGTAAAATGAACAAAATATTAATATGCCTCGGAATCCCTTTTTTTTAAATTTTGTTTAATAATTCTGATACTCGATTGATTAAAAATTTAAAAGATAAGGTTTTACGATCAAAATCGTAAAAAGTACCATATGGATTTGCTTTGATTTGTGTTAATTATTGGATGTTTGGTTTGAGTGAGGGAAGCGGAGCATAAGAGAAAAAATATTCTATTATTTAGTTAAAAAAATTGGAAGAGAGAAGTTATTTATATTATTTATTAATATAAGAAAAGAGGAGAGGAGAGCAAAATGAAGAAAAATAATAAGATATGATATCTTTCTATTCACTTTTTATTTTTTATTTTTTTCAATCTAAATATATTATTATATTATTATATTTATTTATAAAAAATATTTCATTAGTTGAATTGTATTTTTAAAGTGCAATCTAATATATAAATTTATTAAAATATTTTTAATAAAATTATTTTTTATCTTATTTTATTAATAACACTAGTAATTTTAAGTGTAACTTAATTTGTAAAATATAAAT